CATTTAGATATGTTTTTATATTTAGGAGTAGAAAATTTTTCTTGCTTTTGCTACATAATCTTGATTAATATTGCGGTATGTAAATCATATTTTTAATAATCTTTTTTTAAATAAAAGCTAATTTTTAGTCTCACGATATTACTAAAAGTCATCCTTATTACCGGTTTTGAAGGTAACTATGTTTTTATTACAAGAAACATTCCGAGTTTTGAACGATCAACAAAGTACTCGTCTATTTAATATGATCTTTGCTGCTTCGCAACTTTTTGGTAATATTTTCATATAATATGGAGCTAATTTTTAATATTAGTCATTTAAAGAATAATTTACAAGAAATTATGGATTAATTCATTTGTTCATACTTGCTGCTTTTTTTCCATTCCAACAAAATTTTTTCAAATTACTATAAGTCAGGTGCTTTTGCGGTTTTGCTTGTTATTATATGGATAAGTGGTTTTGAAGATGGATTTGCATGGGGAAGTAATCCTGAACTACAATTTCATTACCATCCAACATTTATGGTAATGGGAATAATTTTTTTGGCTAGTGAAGGTAGTTTGTTTTTATAATCTTATTAATACAATGTTTTGTAATAGTCATAGTTGGTGTAGTGGTATTAATATTTCTAAAACAATAATTATTAATCTTACTTTGTATTTTTGTAAGCAAAAAAATGTTCATACATGTAGCAGTTAGCATGTTTTCAACAAAAAATACCTACATTATTTTGTGCAGTTTTGATTAATGTTCAGCAATACTGGTATATCGCGTATTTCGGCATGAGCCAAAACGCTTTTGCAAATTACTACATTTAACATTGCACACAATGGTACTTATCTTTATTGTGGTTTCATTGAAAGCAGTTTTTGATTCGCATAATAATCATAAGAATGAAGAAGGTGAATCTGACCCTTTGCCAAATCTTTACTCCTTGCATTCGTGGGTCGGTATGACTGCAGCCTTAGCCTTCTTCCTACAGGTATTATTGTATTGTGCTTGTTGCATTGTTGAGCAAGTTTATACTACATAACTAAGGCAAGTAAATGTGTAAAGTTTGATAATGTACTGCATAACTGCAGTTTTGTTTGAGAAGAATGAAGTAGTGAGGTTGACTTCTGTTCAGATCGTCTCTCGTTTTTCGTCTCAAAAATATTCTGATTGAATAGAAGAAAAAAATAAATAAATTACTAACTGCTTACAAAAATTAATGATTCAATCAAACTAATGCTCTCGTATTAGAAGCAGTTCTTACTTCGCTTTCTTGCAGTATGTTCTTGGTTTCACGACATTTTTCTTCCCAGGATGGAGTGCGTCCATGCGTCAATTAGCATTACCATTCCATCAGGCATTTGGCGTTATCATCATATGCTTTGTTGCTATCACGGCAGTTATGGGTATTTCTGAGCATGCAGCATGGCGTCACAAGTAAGCTATTCCCAACTGTAGTAAGCTTCTCGCTTAAATCTTTATGTACAATCATGAATAATATTTTTTCAATATTCGTTGCTAGCTTTTACTTTCGTTCTCAATTAAATGTTCCACATTTTTTTCACATTTTATTATAGATTTGCAAAAATATGTAACAAAAAGTGATATTTCTTTAATATGCTTAAAGAACAAAATTAATGAAAATTTTTACACGAAAGTTAAGCATGTGAGATAGCAAATTATTAAATCGGAATCCGAGCATTATTGAAAAGCATCTGTTTTTTCGCGCGAAAAATGGTTTTAACTGAAATCTTAATGAGTGCTGTTAGCTGCATTAACTTTTGCTAACATCAGTTCAATTCATAGATGTTGGACCATTGAGCATAAACTATGCGGGGAGCAGTTCATCAGCACTTTGCTCGGTATTTCAATTCTTCTATTCATAATGTGTGTTGTGATAATCATTCTGAACCCACGATGGCGCAGACACCCACTACCTGAGGAAGAGTCATTACATCGTCTAACAAGTACCGAATAAATTACTTGACGGATATAACGTGTAATAAGCATTTGTTGGAAGAAAAATAGTTTGACCCAACAATAGTTCATCTTTGTATGTTTGCTACAGTAGCTATAAGCTTTCGTTCTTCCTTTTTTTACCTTCCAGTTCTTTTGTTGCATACTCTGTTTCTGATCTCCAATTCAATTATAGAACGAAAATTTATCCTCGACTATATATGTAGATAATAATAATAATAATAATAATAATAATAATAATAATAATAATAGTAATGATAATCTTAACAATCTATTCAATTTTGTGTCATTTTGTGTTAATCATAACAACATTTCTATCAATATTAATTAGTAAAACTAATCTGCGAGGTATCATACCATACTTAACTTATTTGCTATTTAATGCAAGTAATTACTTTTTTCGGGTTTGCAATTCTATTTTGTTCGATCTTTAATATATTTCTGTTGCCTAGTGTTTACGAGAGTATTTATTGGCAGTATATTTTGTCTTCATACTTTTTAAAGCTATTTCCTCCATATTTGTCACAAATTACACCATTTATCGGTTACAGTTAGGCAGACACAAACTACCAGCGTTTTTGTGCAGATTGTAACTCAAATCATCAATACTGCATGTAAACTAATTGGTAGTACAATTTTGAGCACAAACCGACCAATACATTTGTACCATCACGCATTCAGCACAGTAGTTTCGGTCAGATTATATTTGAAGGAGAGGTACACAACTAGGATACGTCAATATTCTCAACACAGTCATTTGATTGTCTGGTATCAAACATAACGCAATTGACTATAAACGTTTGCATCGGTCAATACTTCCTTCCTCTTCTCTCCTCCTCAAACCTAACGTATTTTCTCTCTATCAGTCGAAAAATTTCAAATCTGTGTAGTCATTTTGCTTGCTGTGTGACCGGACTCTACGTACTTTTTCATAGTATTTTACTCGCATCAATTATGCTTAAACATTTTCACCTTATTGATTAGCAACAAATACTTGAATTATCCTCAAGACAAGAACTTGTGAATGCAAAATATCACTTCTCAGCTCAATTAATTACATTTCCGTACGGTGGCGAATTAAGTATGTTACGGATGAAGGGAGACTTGCGCACTATTAGCCGTAAAAACCAAGTAAAGCTGTTTGCTTCACAAAACTAACTCATTTCGCACCACTACCATGAGATACCAGTGAGGTTTTCATCTGCCTCCATAATGCATACCGTCTGATACTTCGCCTCATATTATCCCTATATTTTCTTATGCTCATTGCACCAATACAAATTTTAAAAGAATTTATTTACAAGCAGATAAAAAGATACAATGCTATCAATATTAAATCACATTTTACTAGTTTTTTATCTGCTTGAAAGTGGGCTAAAAGGGATGGAATTTTTCTACAGATTGTACTCGATGGGAAGGTTCTTACGACGAACCATGCCGTCACCCTGGAACCATTCTCGGCGG